CCATTAAGTGAAAATTGTTCCTGGGTCAATTTTACCATAATGTGGGCTTATTTTTTAAAAATTTCTATTTTTGTAATGAAAAAATTAGAAAGTTACTTTCGGCCGGAAATTAGTAAACAATTATGTAATGCGGGCCAAAATTTTGAAGATCCTCGGCCGTTAGCCGAGGATCTGCCGCGCATTTTTGTGCGGCACCTAGGGTTAATCACATCGCATCGCACATTAACCATAGCTGCCGCAACAATTTGGACCAGCAGATTTTCGATTTTGATTGGCTAAGAGTGACAATTATAAAATCAGGCCGGAATTACTCATAATTTTACTAATGAAATCATAGCTAGGGTTGGCATTACATGAATTACAATTTATGTTACATGTAAATTACATTATTTGCTCGATTAGCAGAAGAGAACACCCAAATATATTTTTATAGTAAGTCACCAGAAATGAGAGACAAAACAAATAATTTATGAAATTGTATACAACCTTTATATTAATAGAAAATTAGCTGATGTAACTTTATGTACTGGCATTATAAAAATTCGATACTCACATTATAAGGATAATCTAAATGTTATTTACATAAAGTCCCGAAAATAAGCAATCCCAAGACTAGTTTTTTTTAGAAGAGTTGTTTAATTTCAGTAAGTTTGAGATGCTTTCCAGAAGTTGCTTATTTTTGAGACTTTATAGTAAAGTTTTTCTTCTAATGCCACTTTTTTTGCTATATTGTTTTATTTTTTTTTTTTTAGCAGACTAATTACCTTCATTTTTGCATATTACAATAAAAAAAAGTATATAGATTTTTACTTGGAATAATTATCAAATTCATATTTACAATATTCATAGTTGTCAAATGTATTAAGAAGCCAATTAGAAAAATCAGAAAATCTTTTATTAAGCTCTTCATTTTTGTTATTATCTACATTAATATCAAGTTCTTGATTATCTAAATTAACAGATATTTCTTGTAAATTGTTAATTAATACAGATCTTCCCAACCAATGGAAATTTGTGTATTTCAATAAATATTAACAAGCTTATTTGCTTTTTGAGTAAACATTCTATTACATAGCTTTAAATAAATGAAATTATAGGCAGACCAATTATGCTCACTAGCTACAAAAGTGGCAAAGATTAATAAAATTTTGTATACAACTTGACTTAAAATAAAATATTACATACTTAATAAATTCTACCAATTAAGTAGCTTTGAAATAAGATTTTCCTATAAAACTATCTAATTTTCCAATCTATTCTGCCAACTTATCTAATACTTGATTTTTATTATCAACTTCTGCAATTCAAATTATTCTATTATTTATTATATCGCTTATATTTAGAGATCAAGATCTTTATCACAATATCTAGAATCAAGCATATATATAACTATAATTGCCAGATTGTATAAAAAATTAACTTATTGATTTTTAGCTATCTGTAATGTATTATAGTGAAGTTCTACTGAAATTTGTATATTATTTATAATTTTTTTTTTAAATCTTGCAATATTTTATATACAAAAGAGAGATATGGTTCATTACTCTCTAATAAATAAATAAAAATAATAAATAGTTCTAAAAAATTATGAAGTCTTTTTAAAACCGTCTAAAATGTATAATCTATAATAATTGCATTGATATTTTTGTTTAATTCAATAC